TTCTTTTTTAAAAAAAAATAAAAAAAAAAATTTATACTTGTTTTCTTTTTTTATCTACTTGAAAGTGCATTGTTTCTTTTGGTTCTTCGGCTCTTTCTAACTGTTGTGTTGGTTCTTGTGTTTTTTCATTAAGTTTTGCCTGAAATTCATCGACGGTCAAATTTATTTCTCTAAATTCTAGTTCTTGTTCGTCGTCTATAACAATAGTTTCAATAGCTTTGACTGCCATTTATCGTTGTACAAGTTTTGTTATTGCCATTTGATTTTATAATTAAAAAATGCTGTTTTTATGTAAAATAGTTTATCTCTACAGATTTAGTAAAATTAAAAAATTTTGTTGCAAACAAGTTATATCTAGAAACATTTTATCTTGCTTTTTACATGGAATTAAGTAGGAATCTTTGTAATTAAAAAAAAGTTGTAAAAACTTTAAAAAAACTCTCTGCGTTAAAACATCTCTGCGTAAAGTGTTAAAATGACACTTTAAATGAATTCAAAACACGCTTATGTATCGTATCATTTCCGCACTAAGTTGTAAACCGCCATCAACCGATCGTATAGTGTTCGAAATCTCTCTATAACTTTACGGCTTTAACATTATACGTATAAACACATTGAGCAAACGTTCGATGATTACCTGTCTAGTTAACTTAGTTATATGTTACCCACATTGAGTTTCGGTGAATTCGCTAATACTTGATGATTGTGCCACACTGAGACTCGTACTCTCGGTGAGTCCTGAGCGCGTATGAACGAGCGTGTATGTACGACTGGGTGAGCAGGCATAAGTAAGACATAAGATTAAGACAAAAAAAATAGACTAAGTAAGTAAGGTTAAGCAAGTAAATAAGCAGGATAAGAAACAACCATTGTAAAAAAACAAAGTTAAAAACATCAAGTAGGCCTACTAAGAAAAAATAAATAAGTTAGGTAAGGCAGGATAAGTAAGGAACAGTGTCGGGTGACACAAATATTTTTTATAATAGAGCAAGTCTAAGATTAATAAATCATTAAGAAGTTTAAGTTAAGGTAACCAAGTCTAAGGTACAGAAGTTGATCACAAGAAACAGAGAAATAATTCTTTTTTTAAAGATAAAAAATGTCGCAAAAATTATAAGTATGCAAAAAGGTATAAATTTATACTTAAAAAAGTCAGATATAAAAGATATAAAAATTGTAAGAAAGGCTGTTATTCTTACACCGATTATAAACGATTCAGCACGCAGGCTTGTAGGAAATATTGCACATTTGTTCAAATAATCATAATGGTTAAATTAATTTTGATTTAAAAAATAATACCAACGTGTAGTAGAGAGAATAAAAGTTATCTTAAAAAATTATATTGTAGTACATGTTTTGTAAATACATTTTATACTTAGATACAGGAAGATATGGATTTTTATTAAATGAAATGGGTGATAAAGTTTTAAACAATTTAAGAACAGACGTAACTGATTCGGTGAATATATATATTAACGTTTAAATATCACAATGAATATTTCCGTCAAATGGTCACTGGAAATAAAAAAATAGGACATGCAAAAATTTCTCCTTTTTTAGGCGGATTTATTATAGATTATAACGTTATTTCCAAATTGTATGCTATAAGTCATGTAAATAAAGGTGATTTGTATGTAGGATTTGAATTATCAATCATAAATTGTTAAGATAAAATATTTAATGGTGTTTTTTTTTATTATTTTTACAAAATAATTATTTAACTTAAAAAATGTTTCATTTCAATTAATATATAAAAAATGGATTTTAGAACTTATCTTAAAATTTTTTACGAAACTAAAAAAATAACTACTTTTCAAGGAGATAGTAGTTAAAGCACAGTAAAGGGTAATTTTCAATTATTCTTTCGTTTGGACGGTAGCAATCAAATTAAAGTAACTCGTTCAAATAATACAACACACGTTTTTTTTATTTATGATTATTATTTAAACGGCGAACTAATTAAAGATCAATTAGAATTTGACATGCTATATGAAGACTTTGTTATTGCTATAAAAGATTCGTTAACAATATGGTTGTTAAAAGAAAAAGCTTAAAAAAAAGACGCACCCGCAAAACCCATAAAACTAGACGTATTCTACGCGCTCGTGGGTTAACAGATTATGTTACACCTCTAAATATTACCAACTCTTTAAAAGTGGGTTTAATGTTATATGGAATAAGAAAAGTATGGAAATCTGAAAAAGTATAAAAGTATAAAAGTATTTTTGTATAAAAAAAATATTTAAATAAAAACATAATACAAATTAAAGTGTTGATTTCTTGCAAACGTTTGAAAGTTTTTGTTTTTTTTTTAAGTAAAGTTTTTTGTTGCCGTTGCAATGATCGCATATATTTACTGCATTAATTACTGTTGTTCCACTGAAAACATGTTTTGTTATAAGAAAACATGTTTTCATTTTTGTTTTAATTTTCTTTTGCAAATAAGCGCTTTTCGTCTTTCCGTAGATCTTCTTTCCACGTGAAATCTACGTTTAAGAAT